GTCTGCATTTGTGGATCCATCAGCCTCCAGATGGAAGAGGAGGAAGGAAAACTGAAAATCTGTGATGCAGTGTGCACATGCTTCAGAGCAAAATAAGCATGGACAGTCTGGGAAGAAAACATTAGAACTGTAGAACCATAGAATAGTTAAGGTTGGAAAGGACATTAAGATCATCTAGTTCCAACCCGCCTGCCTTGGGCAGGGACACCTCACACTAAACCGTGTCACCCAAGGCTCTGTCCAACCTAGCCTGGAACACTGCCAGGGATGGAGCATTCACAACTTCCCTGGGCAACCTATTCCAGTGCCTCACCACCCTTACAGCAAAGAATTTCCTCCTTATATCCAATCCAAACTTCCCCTGTTTAAGTTTTAACCCATTACCCCTTGTTCTGTCACTACACTCCCTAGTGAAGAGTCCCTCTCCAGCATCCTTATAGGCCCCTTTCAGATACTGGAAGGCTGCTATGAGGTCTCCATGCAGCCTTCTCTTCTCCAGGCTGAACAGCCTCAACTTCCTCAGCCTGTCTTCATACAGGAGGTGTTCCAGTTCCCTGATCATCCTCGTGGCCCTTTTCTGGATTTGTTCCAACAGTTCCATGTCCTTTTTATGTTGAGGATACCAGAACTGCACACAATACTCCAGGTGAGGTCTCACAAGAGCAGAGTAGAGGGGCAGGATCACCTCCTTCGACCTGCTGGTCACGCTGCTTTTGATGCAGCCCAGGATACGGTTGGCTTTCTGGGCTGCGAGCGCACACTGAAGCCGGCCCATGTTCATTTTCTCATCAACCAACACCCCCAAGTCCTTCTCTGCAGGGCTACTCTGAATTTCTTCTCTGCCCAACCTGTAGCTGTGCCTGGGATTGCTCCGACCCAGGTGTAGGACCTTGCATGTGGCATGGTTAAACTTCATAAGGTTGGCATCAGCCCACCTCACAAGCGTGTCAAGGTCCCTTTGGATGGCATTCCTTCCTCCAGCATGTGGACACAGCTTGGTGTCATCGGCAAACTTGCTGAGGGCGCGCTCAATCCCACTGTCCATGTCAGCGACAAAGATGTTAAACAAGACCGGTCCCAGCACCAATCCCTGAGGGACACCCCTCGTTACTGGTCTCCAGCCGGACATTGAGCCATTGGCCACAACTCTCTGCATGTAGGAAAGAAGGGAAAGTAGGGAAAAAAGAGTATAGGACAAAAGCTCGAATGAGTTCAGCATTGTTTACTGGAAGGGGGACAAGTGAAAGATTCTAACTGAAAATGCTGTAAAAATATTCTGATTATATAGATTTGGTAGAAATTTTCAGCTTTTCCTCTGCATGTGGTAAAACTCTTCAACTGTAAGAACTTTAAACAGCCACCTTTTCAATTCTGTTTGTACTTTTGTGACTTAATTCTGCCCCAGCATCCCTTTCCCTTTCCTGGCAGATGCCTGCCTGCCCGCCCACCATGGTGGGTGCAGTCCCCTCACTGGTGTTTGCTGCCTGCTGTGCCCTGAGCCTGGTGTGGGAAGCCCAGCAAACACCTCCAGACTCCATGATGCTGCTGCGATCTTACTGCTCAATAATCGAGACAAAAGTAGTGGCTGATGGGAGTGTAATCACACAGTCGAGTCTGCAGGTTTGGAGTCTGGCCTGTGGATGTCTTCTGTAATTAGTAGCTGCATTGATATTCTAGATCAAAATACAAAAGGACTTTTAGCCAGTGATTCTAAATCACTTGTTAGCTAATACAGGTGAAGAGGTTTTTAACATTGATCTGCAGTGCTACCAGCTGTAGTTTTCATCTTTCATTTGAGGAGATTCCAGATTATTTCAGTTTGTGTGTATCTTCATGAACATAAACATTTTTTGGTCATAAAACCAGATTTATTGAGAGCCGTTCTGAACAGGTAATAAGTTTTTAACTCCTGTATAGATTTGTTTAGGTTTTGGAGGGTCTTTTTAGTATTCAGGGTGTGTTTTTTGCAGAAAATGTAGGAAAGTTTTAAAATCATGAATAAAATGTAATGGCGTAAAAATCCTTTTTTGTTCATGTCAGTTATGCAAGAGGTATGTCACAAGCCATGATGTCAGTATCTCTACAGCCATTTTCTTCATGTTCTGTTAAAAATATTCCTTTCGTATGCACCTCCATTGTTTATTAAAGTGAATTAGTCTAAAGTGCTGTCCTGTATGCAGAGGTCTACATGTCTATATGCTGTGCCTGTGAGGTAAAGGTATCGCAATATTGCATCATTTAAGTAAGGCTATTCTTTCTGCAGCCTCCAGAAAATCTCAGCCGTGGGCAGTGTATAAAGTAGAGTCTGCATTCTGCTATGCTGATATTTAGCATGCAGATGCAATGTGACATATACAAGCTTTAGGGGGTAAAATCTTAAATTATAAATACTTATATAATATTAAAGTATGTGCATAATCCCTGTGTTCAATATCAGGTAGTCCCGGTTGACTGTTAATGATAGTTTTACTTCTGTTGCTGGGGTAAGCAGGTCTCTGTTTTGGGAGTTGGGAAGAGTTTCCTCTGTTTGTAGTTTACATTGTTTAGTTTAGTCCATGTTTATACGTTGCCTCTGTACTTCGGGAAGGAGTGTTTTTAATGAGTTGTGTTTGCCAAAGTAATAAAATCCTCCTGTTGGGGAAACAGCCTGGAAGCCAGCTTCGATGTTGTATCAGAGACCAGTTCATGCTGTCAGGTGGATGCAGTCCAGTGTTCTCTGCCCTTGAGTGTTGTGCAGACGCAGGACCACCTCCTGGCTGGCAAGCACACAGAAACAACTGCCAGCATGATGGGAAGGAAGCACAAGGAAATACTGTAACTAGAGTCTTAAACCTTGTAAGACTCTGTCTAAAGGCATGCAGAAGGAATTTGCATTACCAGCAGAAGAAGAAAATCGCATGTGAACACTTCGGGCTTCTAGTTTTCTAAAAGGATCTAGATGAAACACTGCGCAGCGTGTTTCCAAGGCCTCCAGGCAGTTATGTAGATATCAGAGTAAAGCTTATAATTGGAATATGGGGAGGATGAAAGGACAGAGTTAGGAACAAACTCAGTTTATAAAATTAAATGATTGCATAATAATCCTTTTGCATGAAATGAAATATCAATAAGTGCAGTCAAGCTATGCATGATCTGTATATCCGTGTTTTTAATTGTAATGTCATTTTCCTGTTGCCACATATTCACCAGCTCTCTCACTAAGGATGAGTTTTGAACAACTAATTGTGTGTTTATATGGCTTTCCATAAAAAGATGCAAATTTTTCATCTGAAGTTTGCAACTTGCCAGAAGGCTCCTTTTCCTTTAGGGAATATTTTGCTTTGACTGTTAATCATATCAAAACCATTGCAAACAGCTAAGCACAAGGTATCCTTGGGAAATCAGATTATTTCTTTTCTTAATAAGTTTTCCCCCACAAACCTAAGCATCATGAAGAGATTTTTTTTAAGAAATGGCAGTGGTTTTCAGCAGTAAAGCTTGAACTTGGTCATTAGCAAAACTTGTGTCAGCATTTTGAGAAGCTTTTTTGGACTCCACTCTTAAACTCTGCCTTCTCTTTTGGGGAAGTTATGAACTCTAGCCTTTCATATGATGGTTGAGTGAATACAGAGAATGAAAACTATCTCATGCGTAAAGTTGGTCATGTCAAAACACATGCATAACCATGGAGAAAAATGTCTTGAAGTTTAAGTTATTGTTGCCTCTCCTGTAAAACTGGGCAAGCCAGATATCTGCTTTGTTAACTTGGTTTCTGTATGAGCACTCAGCAGAATTGCTTTCTTAATAAAAACCATTGTTGTTGTTACTGGGCTGAGCTGTTAGGTAAGATTTGAACCCTTGTTTGTCAGAACTGATTTGCACTAAATGCACAGAAGTCATTTTTGTGAAAGCAAAGTTGAACTTTTTGTGAGTTACCAAGCGATCACTTCCCTGCCCTGTATGCTCAAGCTCAGGGGCTGTATGACCTGCAGCCCTCTGCTCCAGAAATGGACTTCACTGAATCTTTGCCTAGTATAAAGCATGTTGTAGAAATATCTCTTCTGAAGAACAACTGAAATTGTTTTTCCTCAAACATTTCCATCCTTAATTTCCAAATGCTTGAATATGTCAACAGTGAAGACATTTTTGCCAGTGACGATGACATGGTAACGTTGGAGGAAAGTCCCTGTATGCAAGAAAAGGCTGCATCTATTAGCTGTACTCAGTACAGAGTTTAGAATTTTTTTGCATATGCTTGCTGCTCTGTGCCAGATTAGGTACACAGGCACACACCCCCCTGCCTACTGCTGCGTAAATTCAGATAGCCCTCAAAGTTGAATTTAGAAACTTTATTGAGGCCTAAAGCTGGCAGCCCAGCTTCTGAAATCTATAGGTGGACTATGCTAAACTCTCCTTATTTAGATGTTTTTCTGAGGAGATGAAAATTAGTAAGGATGTTTGTTTCAGAGGAGTGGTAATTGGCTAGTATGTTTTAACAAGCTGGAGGTTTACAACTTATTTTGAAGTAATGGTTTGATATAATCTTAAATGATTGCCTTGGGCTTGATTGGCATTCACCTACAAGTGCCAGAAGAAAGATGATCTTGACTTGGTTGAATTCAGGGAGCTGTGAGGATTGAGCAAGCTTATTAAGAGATTTCCGTTTTGACTATGATCTTCTCACTGTATGGACAGTCCTGCTGTGTATAGGGACTCCAGTAACATCCATTTTAAATAGAAGAAAGATTTACTTTGCATTAGTCATGGTGGTTCTTCAGATGCTGCACAACAGTGTGTTATGCTTCCAGATTGAATGGAAAAAGCCCACATCAATGTGTCACACTGCTCAATGTACATTAGACAAGTAGATCTCGGGTGCATAGTGCTAGGTTAAATTACAGCAGGGACTTACTTATTCAGCACAGTTGCTTTCTGCTCATGCCTTTTGCTAATGACATTAAACGCCATTTGGTCTTAGCTGGGTGCATCTGGATTAACGTCAATGCATTCTCTTGTTATAGGAGCAGCTTACTGCCAGTTCATGGACATGTTGTTCCCAGGGTGCATTAGTTTGAAGAAAGTAAAGTTTCAAGCAAAGCTGGAGCATGAATACATTCACAACTTCAAACTTCTGCAAGCATCGTTTAAAAGAATGAATGTGGATAAGGTAGGCATCCTACAATCACCCATTGTATTTCAGTCATTACAAGTTTTGAAAGTTGTATAAACTGGGTAAAATAGAGGAAACAAACTTCAATACTTTAAGTCCATTGTTCAAATTTTGGATTGGGAACTACAGCTACAAGTTGTATGTGAAGTCAAGAATATGACCTTTTATCATCTGAAGATGGTATTTAGCCACAAAGGAAGAAATTTGGCATGCTCCATTTAAATACAAACTGAAAATTGAGTCCATGTGTCTGCTGAGGAATTGTGCAGCCTAACCTGTTGTATTTTAATATCAGAGACCCTTTTGATAAAATACCATGTGTTAGAAATTCCTTGCTATCAGTGAACTTTAATTTTAGATGCAGTAAAATTACCGATGACCTGAATTTCTAACAAACTAACTTGGAAATATTCTAATTATTCTGTGTTTCTTTTCTAAAACCAAGTTTAAGGAATTTAAATTTTCCAAGAGCTGGAATAATTTACCCAGTGATTCAGCTGGTTGGACAGCACATGCTATCTTGTAAAGTTAAGAAGCCTCTTAGAAAATGGCTTTTTCAACCATAAGGTATTGGCTTATGTTTGAATGAGAGTTTGATGGATTCACCAATATTAATTACTGTGTTGATCAAAATAAATAATGAAAGCTGTGTGATCATACTTTTATTTTTACACTGCCTGTGTCTGCTCTGGCATTTAGTGATGCCTTATTCTGAAATTTAAACAGTCTTAATAGAGAATCCTGTAAGCTTTTTACAAAGCACTGGAAAGCCCTCATTGTTTCCTGAAATGTTGTGAATGCTTCTATTTACAGGGTAATTTGCTAGTGAAAAATTGGAAAGCTTAATAAAGTTAACATAATGAAGTTAACATTGTCAGTTATTCTGCAGGGAGCAAACTTCCTATGCCTTCTCAATGTAGAAATAAGATACAAATGGAACAACCTGAAAGGGCATACAGAATGCTAGGTTAATCCTTGTAGGGGTATTGTAGACTTACAAAATGCTGTACAGTTGGCTTAACCTTGAGCAAAAGTTAGAATTGCAAGGGGTTTAGGTACCCTTTTTCCAGCTGAAAAATGAATGCATTCAGGAAGCATTAAGGTGCATCTAACTTGGCTCTTTAACCAGCTGCATGAATTAAGCAAAGCAAGGCAACCCTCCTTCTGCAGCTGTAGTCCCTGTCTACCCACAGTGGCTGAGGACCTTAAGTTTTGTAATATTGCCCAAAGACACCTTTTGGAGGTTTCATTTCTCTGAAGAATTTGCAGGATATGGAGTCATCCTCATAGAGTTTCTTTTGTTTTACTAAAACTTTATAGGCATTTTGGTCAGATTCTGCATGCCCACAAAGTGTTCTATGTATAGCTAGATACAGAATGGAAAAAAATTACAAGGTTAAAACCTCAGGGTTAGTTTGTATGATGAACACGTGCTACCAAAATGTAGGTTGGCTTGAACTTCAGCATATCTTGGAAAAGCTGCTGGGTTTTTGTAATTCAAATAATAGGAGACAGAGCAAGAAACTCCTGTCTGGATGTTTTGAAGAATTATTAGTTTTCAGTATGACAAACTGTAGCATGTCCATTAGAAACAAAAATCCCTGTTTAGCAGAATATAGTTTTACTCCCAGAACAGTTTCATTCATGTTGGCTGTCACTGCCACAGTGAAATAAGAAAAGAGTGACTCTGTGGAAGAGCTGTTTAAAGACTTACATTCACCCACTGTATGGCCATCTCTAAGGCAGGGTCTTTGTTTTATTTTGGTTTTCTTTCCTATTAAGAGCGCTTGCAAATCTACCATAATTCCCTTTCTTTTAGGAAGAAAACAATGATGGAGGAATATATACTGATATAGTTGGTAGATTTATTCAAACAAGTGGGTATATGTAATGTTTATACTTAAAAATGGCAGTGATACATTGTTAGAACCTTTATTCTGCTTTCCAGGTAATTCCTGTGGAAAAACTGGTCAAAGGGCGCTTCCAAGACAACTTAGATTTCATCCAATGGTTTAAGAAGTTCTTTGACGCTAACTACGATGGGAAGGAGTATGATCCTGTGGAAGCTCGACAAGGCCAAGATGCTCTTCCCCCACCAGATCCCGGTGAACAGATCTTCAACCTGCCCAAGAAGTCTCATCATGCAAACTCTCCAACTGCAGGTAACTTGCGTCCTAAAGAATTCCATTTCCGTCTCTGAAGACAATTACACACTGGGATCTATTTTACATAAATACTAGTTAAAAATTATTTCCTTATGTGCGTGGGCCATTCTTTTTGCCTTGGCTTAGGCTTAGCATCTGAGGTGGCAGAAGTTAACTTCTTGTGGTGTAATCATGTTTGGCCCAGCTGTAGTGAGCATAGGGTCTCCTCCACTAAACCCTTGATGTAAATGTTGTGGGTCCTAATGATATCTGATAGTGGAGACAAATGCATTTAATCTCCTTGTTGCTGGATGTGGCATGTGTAAGTGTATTCTAGATCATTAAATGGGAGTATGTTCTTCCCTCACACCTCTACCCTTACAGGAAATTACTAGCACAGGCTGATTTCTTTTTTATTATTTATGGTGGGCGAGATGCTTCCAATCTTAAGGGCTGAACAGAAGGAAAAACAAAAAAATTGATTTATTGATTTGTGGTTTTATACACTTATTGTTCAGGTATGCGAGCCCTCTGAAATGAAAAATATACAGCTATTGCTCTTTCTCAAAAACACCTCTCTCTTGCAAGTTTTTATTTTGGGTTTGTACTGGCTTTTGCTAGGTTAGAGTTAGCTTTCTTCACAGGTGATTGTATGGTGCTGCATTTCAGAGTTGTGACCAAAATAGTGTCGGTAAGACATGGATGTTTCAGTTACTGCTTACACAGAGTCAAGGCCTTTTCTGTCCCTCACACCACCCCACCAGTGAGAAGGCTGGAGGTGCACAAGAAGCTGGGAGGGGACGCAGCACAGACAGCTGATCCCAACTGACCAAAAGGGTATCCCGTACCATATAATGTGCTGGGGAAAGGAGGAGGAAGCAGAGGGGGATGTTGAAAGTGGCAGTGTCGGTCTTCCCAAGTAACCATTGCATGTGGTGGAGGCCTGCTTTCCTGGAGATGGCCTGCCTGGAAGTGATGAATTAATTCCTTATCTTGTTTCGCTTGTGTGTGTTACATCTTAAACTATCTTTATCCCAACAAGTGAATTTTCTCACATTTACCCTTCTCATTTTCTCTACCATCCTACCCGGGGACAAGTGGCTCTGGGGGCTCAGCTGTATGCTGGGGTTAAACCACAACAGGGTTTCTGGAGCAGGCCAAAGGGCTAAACCTGATCTTTGGTGTTTGTGTAACATGGGCATGACTGGTGAGTAAGTAGATGCCACTTTTTGATAACTGAGTTAAATGAACAGAAGAGCAGCTAACATTTTTCTAACAGAATGATCACCAAAGAATTGTTACTGGGGTTGATAGCCTGTATGTGTATAGGTTTGTGCATATAGGTGTGTGCAAGTGTGTTTCTGTATGCACACTTTATTCCTTGAATGGTTTGTCCTGGGTTTAACTTCATGCTAACCCATTCCCCAAGTAAGGATTAATTTTCTGTTCACTTAAATCTGTGACCTGTCCTCTCGTGGGCTCAGATATGCACCAGTGCTGGCAAAGGGAAGGGGCAGGTATAAGGCACTTGCAGATTTAGGCTGTCTTATGCTTTGGAATATCCAGATTTCAGCATTCTGCTCTGGTCGCTTCTGACGTCAAAGTGGGACATACTTGGCCAGCTGCCTTCAGCTCATTAGTGCTTCCAGGAAACTGAACACCTAATAGCAGGTCAGCGCTGGGCTGACCTGGGCTCTGGGCTTGTTTACATCTTTGTTTTGCACCATCTTGTGTTTCAACTTTTGAATTTCAAGGCCTGGCATGCTATAATTTCCCATGTGATGTCTTGCACTCCCTTTGAAAATAGGAAAACCCAAGTGCTAATGTCACAATTGAGAAATTGGGATAGACGCTTTTATTAATTACAGACTTTACCACGCTTGTTAATTCTTCTTGCACATGGTCTGTTTTTACCGAAGTCACAAATATGTCATCCAAATTAAAGCTGTAAACGTGACAATCCTGGAGAAGTAGAATAGCTACTGGAGTGGAACCAGCCAGCTGATACGGAAGATAAGGCAGTGATTTCACGTTGTGTTGCTGGTGTATGAAGAGCATGTCTCAAGACTTTCCCAGCAACTGAGATGTTGTGATGAGTTTTGTTAAGAACCTGTGGCTGTGAGACTTAGTATTTTTATGGAAAGGTTCCTTCAGTATTAAGTATTGTCCAGAAGTATGACAGGCAGGATGCTGGTTTAGTTTCCTTAGAGCTGAGGAGAGTGTGCACAGATGTTGTGATGCTAGGTGAAATGAGAGTTCTAGCTTTTGTTGCTGCTTCATTTTAGAGCAGAACTATTTCTGTTAGGTGTCATTCATAGGTTTATTCAATTTCTGGGTGCACACATTTTCATTTCACGGATGCATTTGTGCCACACCTCACAATATCATGTAGCCTGGTTGCTTGAAAGGATGGGAGCCCTTGATGGCTGCCTGTTGATAGAGGACATTCTGGAAGGAGTGCAGTATGCACCTGCAAGCTGTGTGTGCCTCATCTCCTGCCATTTGGGAGTAAATTGAAGATGATCAGGGGACTGGAGCACCTCCCGTATGAAGACAGGCTGAGAAAGTTGGAGCTGTTCAGCCTGGAGAAGAGAAGGCTGCATGGAGACCTCATAGCAGCCTTCCAGTATATGAAGGGGGCCTATAGGGATGCTGGGGAGGGACTCTTCATTAGGGACTGTAGTGATAGGACAAGGGGTAACAGGTTCAAACTTAAACAGGGGAAGTTTAGATTGGATATAAGGAAGAAGTTCTTTACTGTAAAGGTGTTGAGGCACTGGAATGGGTTGCCCAGGGAGGTTGTGAATGCTCCATCCCTGGCAGTGTTCAAGGCCAGGTTGGACAAAGCCTTCGGTGACATGGTTTAGTGTGAGGTGTCCCTGCCCATGGCAGGGGAGTTGGAACTAAATGATCTTAAGGTCCTTTCCAACCCTAACTATTCTATGATTCTATGTGGAAGCAAGTCCTGGGTAGTTGCGAAGTTGCCATGAAAGACATGCTTCTGTAGTTCTGTCTTGTGCACTTTCACAATTGCCTGGAAATGAAGGTGTATTCATTACTGTTGTTACACAAACCATAGCATGCTCATGTGAGCTAAGCAAGTTTAGTGATTTATTGAAGGGCAAAAAAAAAGTCTTGAGTTCTTCTGCAGCAAGGTAAGAATTCCCCACCCCATCAAGAGCTTTTTTCTTTGATGATGCAAGCTCAAAAGGGGAATACCTGAGGAAGTACCTCAGGTGGGATAGTTTAAACTGATATCTATGACTTTTATGTTGACTATACAGATGTCTTATGTTTAGTTTATACCTGACTTCTATGTTTACATTTTATTGTTCTACTTTCCTGGCTCTTTGGTGAAATGGCTGAGGTTTTGGGCATGGCTGTACTTCCACTGACTTTGTTGTGAAAGCAGTAAACATTGTGGGCAGCTCGATGCAATAACCTCTTATACCAGTGCAGCCAGTACTTGCCAGCTTCTATAGCAGTTTGACACAGTAGCTTTTCTCTCTTTTTGTACGTTTTCTTTTTCTGTGTCATTTTTAATGTGTGTGATTTGCTCTACATTAACAATGAGGCTCTGAAATCTTGTACTGCCTTGTTTCAGTTCATTAGCAGAACAAAAAGAAGCAATAGTGAAAGCAAATAAAGAACCCAGAAGATCTTTCAGGGTAATTCAAAAGTTTTCAAACAGTGTGCGGTAGACATAGCTCAATGTATGCATCTATTGTTAAGTGTCAGGAGCAAGCAGACATATGAGTACTCATTCACACTATGATCTTCGGTTTTAACAGATTTTTAAATATGCCTATTCTGAATTGATCAAGTATATAAATTTCTAAAGAAATAATTTGCTTAACTGTTAGTAATTTCAGGTGCATTTTAGGTGATTCCTGTTGTTCCACCGAGTAACTCTTCCAGTGCAGTTTGCCAGACTTTTGCTTCCAAGGATATAGGAGGTGCTGAGCTCTTTAATTATTCATAACTGCTTTATAGCACTCTGTTCTAACACTGTATTTTCAGAGGTAGACTAAGCTATGTCTTCCAGTTAACAAGAAAGTATCAAATCCTCAAGGACTGCTCTGAAAGCTTAACCAAAAATGTACTGGCATGAATTAGAATGAATTTTGGTATTTTAATCTGACAATAAAGCTGGACGAGACCCTTGGCTTCAGGTACCTGCTTTCCATACCTACACATAGCTACTTCTGCAAATGCACACTGTGGTCTTTATTTCACTTTTAGAGTTTCTTTTAAAGCAACCCAAACCTCAAGACATCTGAAAATGCACTGGGTTTTGTGTTCATTGGGGGGCAGACCAGCAGCCATGGCCCTACCCCTTCCAAAGGCGATCCAACTGAGGAGTCAGCACAGGTCAAGGATAATGCAGCTTGGAAATGGAAGCACAAATGGGTCCTTACAACTAATCTGCTGTGCCACTCTCGCACTGCCTCATCCCTTCCTTGAGAGATAGAGCCGATTTGTTGTCGAGCTGACAGGGGTACAGTGGGTGTATGGCTTTGGTGACACGGGTAAAAGGCTGCTTCTAGAAAAACTAGGAGCAGTGAGGATTTGCCAGGTAAATCCAGCTCCCAAATCTGGGGGAATGAGTGTGTTCTCATCCTTCGAGGAGCAGAGCCAGCAGCATAGACCACTGCTGCAGGCCTTCTGCCAGTAGCACCACAGCTGCTTTTAGATAGAACACCATCTGCTAGCCCTGAGCCAGCTTTCGATCTTCTACAGCCTCCACACTGCTCTAATGCAGTGGAAAACAGCCTGCAGATGCAGAGTGAAAATTGAGTCAAAATTATTGTAAGGGATTAAAATATTAGGGCACTGTTGTTTGTGCCAGCTCTAATGCTCCCCATGGGAAACAGCAGAAAAAGCTTCATTTGATCAAATTGAAAATGGTGATCAGGTTGTCAGGATTTTAGCTTAGTATGTCTTATGTAAGTGCTCCTGTATGTCAGAGCAAATCTCCATGGAAAGCTGTTCTGTGTAGGGGTGTGAGGTGTCAAGAA